CCATTTGTCCAATAGGTTATCAATAATTTGGTAGTTGTATGTAAAAATACAAACAAACCGTGATTTAAATGGTATACTTTTAAAGATAACGGAGCAGAAAGTTGAAGAAGTGGGAAAGGGTGGAGCGCGCTCGTTGTAGGGCGGCGGCGACTGGCGAGGTGAACGACCGATACACGCAAGCTTTTTCACGTGATACGATTAACGTCGCGAAGTAGGTCAGCAGAGCAGTGCACCGCGCGCCCCGCGCTCCATGTGCACCGCCAGGCGCCCGCCACCACCGCGCCACCACCACACCGTCACACTACCGCGCTCCCACCACACTACCAGCACACCACCACGATGATGGCTATCAGGGCCATCTTCTCTTTGCAGATGGACGAAGTGGTACTAATATTACCAATGACGTCCTCGGCCATTCTGTTTAGTGTCTATATAATGGTATAATGGCGCCATTAAACGTGTTTTGCTTGTATTGATCCAGCAGGCGCAAGGACTGGGTTTTGGGGAGCTCACTCCTGTAGCATCACAGCCAGCTGATGCTTTGCTTTTTAAATAGAAATTTAGTAGCTAATGAGCATATTTTACAGTTTGCCAACTGGTATCGATAACGGCTGAACTTGAGCTTTCGATACACATCACCATTTTTCAACAATTTAATCTATGAATGGTAATTTGAATCAGAAATATTTTAGCACATTTTACCCAATGCGCAAAGCTACGCTTACCGATTGTTCGCACCCTGACACGTTGAACCACAGCCTGTGACTCGGTCACGGCGATGATTTGAACATTGTGAGCGACTAACAACCGCGCTAGACAGCGTCGCCGCACATTACAAATCTTCACTTTAAAAGTTTACTTATAAGACAATAATAACACATAAATTACCTACTTTGAAGCACAAGCAGTCTTGCTCGAAGTATTTTATAAAATAGTAAGAAACATTTTCCAAAACAAGGAAACGAGTACACAATCAGATATACCTAAGCATATTACATGTCTCTTGTTGCTTGCTGCTGCATTATTTCTTATTCACTAATTTTCTTTTAAGTGTGGGAGAGCCATGCTTCGGCACGAATGGGTCGGAGTGATACCACGGCCTCACAGAAAAGCGGCGTGAAACAACCACAGCGTTGTGTTTCGCCGTGTGAGTGAGGTTACCGGAGGTCCAATCTTTCCCCACCCCCAATCCCTCCTCAATCCTTAATTCTCCAAATCCCTAATAGGTCGGCAACGTACTCGTAACTCCTCCGTTGCGGGTGTCCATGGGCGGCGCTGATTACTTACCATCAGGTAATCCGTCTGCTCGTTTGCCGATCTATTAAATAAAAAAAAGGGCTGATTGTTCAATAGTCAAATAAATGCTCTTGGAGGAATAAAAATAAACAGATTTATACGAACATTGTGACGCGACAGCATCATAATTATTCCCCAGGTAACTTTTATCTAACCATTGAAAAATCAGCCCTAGGTCAAGTAAAACGTGGTGTCCGGGAGGTTAGGTCGCCCGCTCGGCATGCATGAGTATCGAAACCTGACAGGTTCGCATATATGACTTTTTCCTAATCACATTGATATAAGGTAAAGGAAAACATCGTGAGCTAACCTCGACTTGAAATCGCCAATTCGCCTTGAGCAAGCGTGGGTGACTGGTGATTGATGCTCATATCTTCTCACACAGAATAAATGTACCTATAGGCTGAAGATGTATCATGTGATGAAGTCAGCTACACAGTAGAATGGTTATGCAGCAGTTCGGCAGCAAGGTCGTCCCTGCCCTTGTCATACAATTGCTATTTACTTATTAGGTTCATACAGTAAAAAAATATCTTACATGTTTATTGCTTGTTGCGTACATGTTTGCAATAATAAAATTTACATTAAGTGTAAATATGCATTTGCAATTCCTGTCTTGTCAGCATCGTCTCACACTATTTGATGCCGACCTAGTATTATACTTGCTTTGTAGAATTTGCTTTTACAGGGAACCTTCGAACCCAAACGAGCGTGCACAACCGCCGCGGCTCAGGTCCTGATTGAGGAACAATGCAGGTCAGGGGGTCCTCCCCCCGTGGAGTGGGTCGTGCTTTACTACGTTAATGGCAACTTGTGAACAGGGCAAAGCAATTCCTGAATATGAAAGTATATCTAGGTACATCTAATTATATTTATTTTGTATTCTTAACTACATTTCCCACTGAAAGATAGATATTCACTCTGGTGGGCGCACCAGGTCAAACAATGCAAGGTTGGATAGACGCTCCTAAGCGATACCGACCATATTTCTATGTTATGCAAGCCCCAGGACCCTCAGGGGAAAAGGAAGCGTGACTGTCCTCGTCAAACATAGTTTCGTACAGTGATGGCTGAAGTGATGAGCCTTGGAATGACGTGGAGCGAGGTGAACCGTGATGCATAACACTGATCGAGATGGAGAACTTCTGAAAACTAAAACATTGACAAACGTTTATAGAGTTAATGCATCTTACTTCTTACTAATATTATAAATGCGAAAGTAACGATGTTTGGATCTGGATGAAAGGCACAGGCATAGGATACACTCCGGATGGACCATAGGCTACTTTTTATCAACATACCATCCGAGCGAAGTCGCGAGTGGAAGCTAGTATTATATATAAATACATTATTAATGTTCTTTTTTGCATTTGAAAACATAATAAATGGAAGAGAAATGTAATACAACAAAGTATTTCGATTACTGAAAAGACGGATTGCATATCTATACTAATATTAAAAAGAGGTAAAATTTGTAAGTTTTTAAGTTGGTAAGTTTGTATGTAGGGGGTAATCTTTGGAACCGCTGGTCGGATTGCCAAAGTTCTTACACTGATAGATAGCTACAATGTGCCTGAGTGCTATAGGCTATAAAACATCACGCTACGATTAAATGCAGCCGAGCAGCGGATGAAACCGCGCGAGAGTAGTTAGTACATAATATGTTGTGTTCACATCACAACCAGATAGTTGCTGAGTTTGTTTCCGCATAAATACTTTGATGAAATGGAGTGCGTCTGTCCACCCATAGGAAATTGATGTCCAGTCATGTTTCGCCGAATGAGCAGCTGTGTCATTTAGCGCCGCAGCGGGAGGCAGCACGCTCACTACGGCAGGCAGCGCCGCTACTGTGTCGCTACTCACTGTCACTAGACTGTACAAGTAACGAAGTGTGTGACGTGTGGTCGGAGGAGCAGCGAGCGTGACGACGGAAAATGATTTGTTGGTGGCAGCGGGACGTCACGTCCTTCCATTATTGACACGACGTCGCCGCGTCAGCTGCTGTCAGCGCATAAAACCAGCGTTTATTGGTCGGGTTACCTGATTGAGCATGGGTGCTCTAGTTCAATTCCTGGGTTATGCCAAACTATGTTGTTGTCCTTAGGTCTCCCGAAACTTTTTGCAGGAGAAGCGGTTTTTAAATCAGAGTTTTCAGCAAAGTACTAAAAATTTCAACATCCCATGTATTTACTTGTAACATAGATATATAAATGTGTTTGTATGAAGGCTTAACGCCGTGGGAATCCGAAGCAAAACATAGCTATATCAAGCCAAAGCGGTAAGTTTCACAAACACTCGCTAATACTTTCTCTTCGTCTTGGAGAGTTTATCAGTTTACAATACGTATGTAGGTAGAAAGTTCGAGTCTTTATGTTTTTGAATGAGTTACCTAGGTAACCCAGGTGGGTTATGTACTTAGTCGCACTTAGTAACTTTGGCCTATCGTGAAGTAAAGTTAGTTAAAACGTTTTCCTCAACAATTGTTGTCAACAACGAAGTTGTTGCACACCGTGCACATCATATAATACGTACATTGTTGGCGAGCTGTGAGTGATGCACCGAGACGGTCGGCTACCTACTCCTCCTCCCTCGCCCCGAGCAGTAGCTACAGAGGTGCGGACTCTCTGCCGCGATTTATGGCAATGATTGGAAGTTGACCTCAATACGGCGGGCGGCGGCCGCTCGCTTCCTCAAAGGAAGCCGCTCGCGCTGCCCGCCCTCGTATCATCGGGCACTCGCTTCCTATGCCCGTCCGCTAGGCCTGCCCTGCAGCCCGATGCAATCTAATTATGTCCACTAACATTTGCTTATGTATTTATGATGGGTACGTCTGTCTGTCTGGCTCCTTGTTTACTGTACACTTGTATCTATGTACGACGTCTTTGTACTTATTTATATAGTATAATTTAATTTTAATTAGTCTGACATATTTAATTTGTAACTTTTAAGGATATTGTCATTTTTTTATTATTATTAATTTTTATTATCTCTATTTTTTGTTGTGTTTCCGAATTTAATTTAATTTTGTTTCAATTATATTTTAAAAAATTTAATTTGAATTTTAGGTTGTAAGTACTTTGCTGTGCCCTGACAGGGTCTACAACGGCTGTTAGCTATAAGCTTTTATTGTTAACACCACACTACCTTGTAGAACGCAAATAAATGAATATGAATATGAATATTTAAATCTGAATTGTTAGAATTACAATAAAGTAGGTATTCGTAGATATTTGAATTGGACAGTGGGGATTCCGGGATTGGCACTAATCGTTTTCGTATGCATTATTTTTATACTTAACCTACGTCTGATGCTCTCATTCCTTGAAGTTAAGTTGGGAGCGTGGAAGCTTTCAGCAAATGTAATATAGATAATCGTTCGTAACGATTTTACATTAAATAAATTATTCAAATACAAATACAAATCTTTTTATTATTAAGTACTTAAACTGGTAAGCGGATGGGATGGTAAAATTTCTGTTTAAATATGAGTTCTTTGAACGTCATAACAAGTTTCAAGTTAAGTAAAGAATATTAGAGCAATAATATATTTATTGTTAGACGTTCGGTCGGCAACGGTGAGTCGGCTCTTCGGCACATGCACGAGCGTGTCTAGGTCGTAGAGTTCGGGCGGAGGGCGGCGGCGGCGGGCGTCGATACGGCGCGGCGGCGGCGAGGGGCGGCGCGGCAGTGCGAGGCGCGCGCGGCACCCGACAGCCGCCCGCATGCACCGCGCCGCAACGGCCGCGCCACGTGCTGCCGCGCCGCCGCCGCGCCGTGCACCGCCTGCACAGCGCACTCGACGCGCCGCCGCCTCACGACGAGCTTCCGCAGTTTTGGAGCGACTTTGTGGCGACGTAGGCGCGCGTCCGGCACGCCGCGCGTCGCGTGTTTACACTCCGGTGACAGTCCCCGCGGGCTGGAGTGGGCGCGAGCACCAGGGCCGGCACTCGAGGCACTCCCGCTAATAGGTATGCCTCACAATGTCATTACTGTCTTTTACAAATGTGCGTGACGTGTCCAACAGTACGTCTATACTAAAGCTCGGTGCATAAAATCATAATTTAATATGTTCTCGTCCAGAATTAGATTGAAACAATCGCAACCATTACGGAGCTAGCCCAGATCCTAGTGTTATTATCTATAATTTGTTTGATCGTCAATGTCATGTTTTCCTGTATCTGTTCAAGTTGAGTTTATTTTAGGTTTATATCTTAAGACGATTATGAAGGTCCGTTTATTTGTTCGATATGAGTATGAGCGATGTTGCACTTACTACTTGTGATGGTCTACAAATACGAACGAACATTTAAGTTTTGAATGTTATTTATGCAAAATAATATTATTGTACGCGAACAGATGATAAATGCTACAACGTTCCTACAACCTGGGGATGCAAATACTGAAACCGGCAATGTGTATTACAGAAGACATACTTTACTGTTACTTCGCGGCTCCACGTCGTCGCGTTACAGTAAAGGTGGGAAGTTGGTGGGAGCAGGTTATCTCTAGAAATGTCAACGACAGAACCTTCTCGTAACTGTTACTTGAAATAATAATACTTACTTTTTAAGCTTTTAAAAGTATTTATAAGTAGGAAATAATAATACTCTTATCCACTGAGGAATGGTCTCTTCTGTTGTCAATTCCCCCATATGCCATATGTATGATTATGATGATAATCAGATGCTAAAGAGGTTAATAATAAGCCTTATTTGGTTGTATGTAATGATTGCCTCGATTTGATGATTATTTCGACTCTCTCAATCGAACTTGATAACCAAAATCGTGCACTCTCATAAAACATGACAAAAAATCTTTTTAAAACACAAGAAAAATAGGAAATAATTTGAAAACCTACTCTTCATTTTAAAATTATATTGTGACAGATTGGACAGTCTCAAAGTTAGAGAGTCAGCAAAGTTTTGATTCCATCGGAGATTATGTGACACCAGTAAATATAATATGAATGTATGTGTGTGATTGTGACGTCACACACCCCCTTGATCTCAAGTGGACCATACTTACCTGTTGATGTGACCTTGCACATCACACACACGGCTCAATGAGACTCGAGCTGTGACTGTGACACGCGTAACGAGCTCCATGCGCTGTACGCGGCGCCCCGCTGGGCTACTCGCTCACAAATTAACTAATAGCGTAAAGCGATTGTCGGAGTCTACTAATTTTACCATACTCTTAAGAGCGTCGTTTATCAACACTTTGGTTTGATTGATAATTTGTAATGTTGCCACATCCACGGTTGCACGACGTAGCCACATCTATGTTACTTGGGCACTCACACAATATCATCAAATCGGAAAAAATGAAAATCTGTCAAATGAATTGTGCAAAGATGAGGAACATTAAAAATCTCCTTTCACGTAACATTTTATGTGTACTAACAACACGTGTCGTTAGTGTTTACAGTAATAAAAATAACTTTTATGGACGGCACCGGCGTGTCTTTGTTGTTTGATGTCTCAGCGTAGTCCGCGCCGCCACCGTACCTTCTCGGCGCTGAATTTAACGACGGTTGTATTAAACCTTTCACGGACGTATACTCGAGCCGTTCATAAATATATCTTTGAAGCTTTTTAAGCTTAACAAACAACAAAGGCTGAGGACACACTATATAGTTTATCCAAACAAAAGACTGGGGTTTCCTGTTAGGTACTTACAGTACTATCCTTTCAATGTAGTTTTTAACCTACAAATTTAGGTAGGTATCTAGATTTCAGGCTCAACTTTCTCCCTATGTACAACATCCAAATCCTCAAATCCCTCAACCCCAAGTGCCTAATGTACTTGTAACTTCTTAGGTGATGTGGATATCAATGGGCGATGCAGATGGCCTTCCCAGGGTGATCCGTCTGTTGTCAGGCGTGTACGAAACACAGGGAACCATCTTAAAGCTGTAATGACTTGGGACCTATCTCGCGAACGAGGCTTGATGTAAAAGGTATAATGGTTGCGTTTTGTCTACCTGTGGTGGGTATGGTGTACCCTAACAGTAAGACGGCAGAATTGAACGTTACTCCCGTATTCTTGCCCTCATTAGCCGCAATATAATACATAACAATTAATTGTTAGAGTAAGTATATACTTTAAACAACTGCTAATGCACACTTTATTTCGTTTGTTGAGGGAGGAAAATAATCAAATTACTTCTCTTGTCTGAACATGCATCGCTCCTATTTGGCCCCATCTGTGGTGGTCTGATGGCTGTTACATTTTACATATCTTGCGTATTGAACTGTGGTACGTGTGGAACTGTCGCATGTACCTTTCTAGCTGGCGGTATTTCACTTGGTTGTAATATGTAGTAACTCCAATGATAATATAACCACTTATTGGTTATATCCTCTTTGAGTAACTCTAACAATTACAAAACAAGCCAGGGCTTATTGGCTTAGTTTATTGTTTTTATTACAATAAGCTTCTAAGGTTAGATGTCCTAGGAATTCCTTTAGCAGCCCCACCCCGTTGCGTGTCTCATCGGAAGCATCTTCATAGAGAGTGATTGTGCCATTAGCATTTTGTAACACAGCGTGTTTTTAAAATTCACTTATTAGTAACATGTATTTCGTGGCCAGGTCTCTTGCCGAGTGGATTGACGAACTGAAAAAGAGGCAATTTCTTTAACGTTGCCCCACACTAGGATTTTCTCCTGTGTCGAGGGTGCGTTTACAAATATACACACCGCGCCCAGACCCGGAACAATTTGTGGATCACCCAAAGAGTTGTTCCGTCCGGGAATTGAACCCCCGACATGTTGCACGGCAGTCAGTTGCCACCACGGTTGTATTCTGACTGATGACGAACATGATTCCATAATATGTTATTTATCTTTTTCGGACTCGTGTTCATGTATGTATCATTATCAGATCTATGTCTGATATTGTCAAGTGACACACGATTCATTAGCATGCCCTCCAATTAAAGACATCTCTTTTTTCTGAAAAGGCAGTACCTAAGTAGGTATTGCAAAGTAAGTAATTAAAATATAAATTATTTACTCAGCGACAAATAATCATGGACCATTCCGCACCATGACACAGCATGAGGAATTAGCGGAACGATGTATGACGCGCTGCACGCTGCGCGACTCCACGCCGCGCCGCCCGCTGACACAACTAGTTGTCTAGGCAACGTGTGCCGCGGGCCGCTGCTATACATTTTACACTACCCTTCCCCTGCTGCTCATTTGCGTACAATTTATAATACTCCTCTCAAGGTAATCCTCTGTGAGTACCATACTTGCTATTCGTAAACAAAAATTGTTGTTCATACAATTTATTATCGTTTACTTCGTTTTATATAAACATCTACATTTACTCACCTTACGAACATTCATATAATTAATTGAAAAAATCCTAAGTAGGTACATATTGCTAGTTCGTAGTACCTAAATTAATTAGTTATACGTAGAACAGGCGGCAGACGCACAGATCCGATCAGGTATTTGCCACACACCTGACCTTGGCAGAGGGCCTTTGTGAGGTCAACATCACTCTATTCGCATTACTAATTGGGCATCCATCTTTAGTAAGTAGTAATACTACGTGAGTAGTAAGACTGTTAGACAATGCCTAAGGCATTAAGTCCGCCTGTACATTCTTTTGTATAAAGTGTATAAAGTGTATAAATAAATAAATAAAAATAATACTTGCTTTAAGTAGGTAAAATTTACATCCCTTGTAGCTATTTCTTAGTTGTTTGCCAATTGCTGTAATAAAAACAAAAAGGAAAATAAAATACAAGCAATTACACCAAAAGACTCCTAGTCAGGTATTTTGTACCCACTGATACGGATCGCTGTAGCAGCCTCTACGCTTTGGCTACGCAGTGTAGCAGTTGTAGCAGACCTCTACAGATTAGCTACGGTAGCGTAGCTGTTGTAGCGGACCTCTACGCAGTGGCTACGTTAGCGTTGCAGTCTGTTGTAGGAGGCCTTTACAAGTTGGTTACGAAACCACAGGAGTTGTAGCAGACCTCTACATGTTGGCAACATCTACGTAGTACTAGAAGCAGCTTAATGTTTGTGCATCACCAAAAAAATTAGTAAACTTTACAGCGAGTAGCGCTCTTTAGAGTTAACCGCCACTCATTCATACTGTACAGTTTTAATTATGATACGATACATTATTATCCTAATAAACCAGCTGCCATAAAACTATAGATGTTGGGCTGGCATCAAGTTCAGCAGATACGTCACTCTTGCGATTGATACCGCATTAGATACATACCTTATGTGATTCATAATTTAACCTAGTATTATTACTTAGTAAGCCACTACTCCAAGCTGACATAAGGACCGACATTCTGCAATTCTGACCTGTTGGAATACGTTACAGTGCACTCACATTTACAAATTTATCAAGCTTGACAATATAATGCATTTTACTAAATTTGAGAAGTTCCGTTCAACCAAAAATCCACTGGGACATTATTTATTTTGGTGTAGGTTTGCTATAATTGCTATACTACGTTCTATATACGTACTATATGCAACCCCAAGATGTCGTTTGGGAACACCCATCAAGACCACACGTGGCTAGTTTGTTACTAAGAGACGAGTAAGTACACTATTGTGTATCAATAGAGCACTATAGGGTACAGCAGTAGTAGCAGCAGTTTAAGTTGAAGAGTAACTCTTTATACTAAAGCGGTGCCCCGAGTCTCACAATAATCCGTTGCCAGTGAAACGTTTCATATTTATATACTGGGTATTTACACGCCGCCGGCGCGTGTTATAGTAAAGTGTAATGTATATGGGTTTAATATATGCAGTAAGTATTAGTTGTCCCACAGCCGTGTTCCTGAATTGGAACCTTTTAAGCTGTAAACTTCAAGTGCCTAAATGCGTTATTGATGGTCGTAACAAATCCGGCAGAACACAACCAATTTACAAAAGGATATAATAATAAGTTGGTACATGATCATCACTGAGTACCACGTTTAGTTCGCA